AGTCGGTAAAAGAATAAAATGGCACATTTCCCAGCATACGTTTTGCTTTATTCAAGCGCTCATTAACAATTTAACAGGACAACTCTAGCACGGCGTCATCGGTTTATTTTGTTCTTGTTCATCTGACATATGTTCTCCATTGACTCCCCTCTGTGGAGTTATGTGAATGAACTTCACTGAATATTTTATGAGTCTGGTTGACACAATGTCCACTTCCAAACATCACGTCATGTCATGAAGATTACCTCACCCCTCCACACACACACGCACATCTCTCCGCACACATATGCGCATAGTCAAACATGACGTGATCACGCATGAATCCAAATCACACATAATGACTGTGTGCCCTTTTGGGGAGCTATCTGCTGTTTTAAAGAGCTCTTGTACAAAGAAACACATCCTCCATCTGAGCTGCAGACATCCAGACATCCAGAGGGTGAAGTGGGAGGGGTCCTGAGGAGGGAAGCACTCCCAGAGGATTTACATGCGAGCTCAGCTCGGCCAATCGGCTGCAGCGATGAGCTCATTCTAATCTGGAGGAGCTGCCTGATTGGCAGAGCTGCAGTCAGAGACTCTCACCTGAATGATTGGGTGAAAAACAGCCTTATTTGGAAGCTGTTAACTGGGCATATTTTCCTTCCAAGGCACAGGCATTTTTCATTTGGTTTGAGTGCGCAGCTCACAGATAGATGCTATTAGACAATGCCGTGGCTTCTTCATGTCTTAGATGGAATCTTGCCAGGTTTCTTAACAATGGAGTCAGCCATCGCAAGGAATGCCCTGGAATTTCTGGACTTTTCAGATGGCGTTTAGCGTAAAATCACAATGTTAGTACGGGTGGATTAAAAAAATAAATGGAGCTTTGAGATCGTCTCGCAGAGCAGTTTGTGTTTGTCTTCCCTATCAGCCAGTGTTTTCTAATCTCATCTGCTATCTGGATTTACTCATTCAAAATGCCTGAGGCAAATTATTTGCTGTCAGTTTCTTGGGGATACATTAAGGTAAGATAATCAATCATGAAATTTTTTATTCTTAAATTGGAATGCGGTTGGATGGGATGCTATTGTTTATTACTGGTGTTCAGTATGCGGTTACACAAAGAACACAGGTTGCATAAAAACATAGGATGATCGACAGATATTTAAGACCGATATGGCATTTATTTATATTATATATATTTAAAATGCATATTTCAACAAAATTACTATACATAAAAGACCTATGCCTTATTAGTTTTTTTTGTGTGTCTAGGATCTATCACTGTCTAAACCCAAACTACTATATAAAGCACCAGCCCATCATGTGCTGTCGCTTGGCTGTTTTAGTTGTTTGTTTGCACACATTAGTGAGTTTATTTTCAAGCATGCAGCAGTTTTCATCTCCATTTTGTGCCTGCAAATCTTGTTAGAAATGGGGAAAAGGGTATTTTGTTTTGTGGCGTCTATATGGTGTGACCCAGTAGGTCATGTTGACCTGACATTCTTAACAGTCTGAGAGGATTCATATGTTTTGAGTTGTTTGGAGGACTCAGCCTTGAAACCATGGTGAATCAGCCGATAGCGACACAGCTGACAAGGCAAAATCCATTAAGTGATTAAAAAAAAGGTAAAATGGTGTCTACAGCAGTGAATAAAAGTGGGGGTGTTTCGAACAATAGCGCGAACATATTACACAACACCACACAAGATATTTGTACTTTTTAAATTTGTTTATATTTATTTATAAAATAAATAAATACAGATTTTTTTTTTTACAGTTTTTCTATACAGATGGTTTTACAGTTTTTCCATACAGATGGTCCTTTATAGTGGATACTCAAAAACAAGCCATATTTTTTTCCCACACAAAACGGGTCTAAATGCCAAAAAAAAAAAATATAATAATTTGCATTGTTTATCTCTCAACAGTTCAAGAGGATGTTGAACAGAGAATTGACTCACCTCTCAGAGATGAGCCGATCTGGTAACCAGGTGTCTGAGTGCCATATTTTTTTTCCCACACAAAACGGGTCTAAATGCCAAAAAAAAAAAATATAATAATTTGCATTGTTTATCTCTCAACAGTTCAAGAGGATGTTGAACAGAGAATTGACTCACCTCTCAGAGATGAGCCGATCTGGTAACCAGGTGTCTGAGTTCATCTCAAGTACATTCTTAGGTGAGTGTCCCTCAAAAACTATAATAAAAATTAAATATGGATGTTTACGGTGTAGAATAACACCATAATGTCATGTGGCAACATGCGTTGCATTTTTAAATGAACAAAGGAGTCAAGAGGAAAAGCATTTTGACTGGAGGAGAGCAGCTATGTGAGATTTTTGGGGTAACTCAGAGAACTAGGACAACTGAAGTGCTGATTATGAGCAAAAAGCAGGTCAACAGCAGCTCTGTAGCCTGACGGTTGTGTAGCTAAATAATCAGCCACAAGCGAGACCATTAAATGACCATAGCCCACCATTCTTTTACAAAACTGCAAATCAGTGGCTGTAATGGCACATGATGTGTTTTTACCCATGAGCGCCTGATTTCTCGAACCTTCTTTGAGCATTTTCTGTTTCTGTAGACAAGCAACACGAGGTGGAAATGCCATCGCCCCAGTCCCAGAAAGACAAGGAGAAGAAGAAAAGGCCGATGTCCCAGATTAGTGGTGTAAAAAAGCTAACGCACAGTTCCAGCCTTACCAACTCTAGCATCCCTCGGTTTGGGGTTAAAACTGAAACAGAAGATGAGCTAGCCAAGGTAATCTTAATATATATATATATATATATAAACTAATAATGAATAATTAATTTTATAAAATAATAAAGCCTTAAATAATTTTTTAAAATACACTGCCGTTCAAATGTTCAGTGGCAATACGATTTTTGTGGTTTGTATTAATGATTTTTAGCAAGGATGTTAAATATATAAAAAGTGACTAAAAACATTTATAATGTTAAATAATATCTATTTTAAATAAATGCTGTTTTATTGAATTTTCTATTCATCAGAGAATCCTGAAAAAATATCTCACTATTTGCACAAAAATATTAAGCTGCACAACTGTTGATAATAATTTAAAAAAAAAATTTTTGTTTGAGGACCAAATCAGCATATTATTATGATTTCTGAAGGATCATGTGGCACTGAAGAATGGTATATTGACTGCTGAAAATACAGCTTTGGCATCAATGGAATAAATTCAATTTTAAAATATTAAATTAGAAAAAAGTTTTAAATTGTTTTAATATTACTGTTTTACTGTATTTTTGATATAATAAATGTAGCCTTGATGAGCATAAGAGATTTAAAAAAGTCTTGCCGACCTCAAACGTTTAAATGGTGGTATATAAAATGAAATGACTGTAAATACAGAGAGATTTACAGAAAACTTAAATATAGGAAATCTAACTATATGTGTTTGACTTTGTGTCATTTCAGGAGCTTGAAGATGTAAATAAATGGGGCCTTAATGTCTTCAAAGTGTCAGAATTTTCTGGGAACAGACCTTTAACGGTTATGATGCACACAATATTCCAGGTACATTTTTAAAGCATTTGTTCCCTCAAGCTCAAATTTGCTTTAATGTCTCTTTACAAGTTGCTCCTGCTAACAAGGGAAAAACCATGCGGGTTGTCTTTCTGCTGTAGGAGAGGGACTTGTTAAAGACGTTTAAAATCCCCCTGGACACGTTTATCACCTATCTGATGACTTTAGAGGACCATTACCATGCTGACGTTGCCTATCACAACAACATCCACGCTGCTGATGTCACACAGTCCACTCACGTCCTGTTATCAACCCCTGCCCTTGAGGTATGATAGTGCTGTCCCAGTATACAATGCTGTTTCTTCTGATTGTTGGGTGTTAAAAAAGTGGATTAGGTTGTGAAATTTTAGAAAATCTTTCTGTGTCTGTTATTTTCAGGCTGTGTTTACAGACCTTGAAATTCTCGCTGCCATATTTGCCAGTGCGATACATGATGTTGACCATCCTGGCGTCTCCAACCAGTTTCTCATTAACACTAGTAAGTCTCTAGCTCTAGCATATGAACATGACATTTTACCATTAAACTGTCTTTCGTTTGCTGCTGTAGCATTAAAGGAATAGTTCACACAAAAATGAAACTTGCTGAAAATGTACTCACCCTCAGGCCTTCCAAAATGATCTTGGATGGCCTGAGGTTGAGTACATTTTCAGCAAATTTCCATTTTTTGGGTGACCTATGCCTTCTGTTATACTTTAAAATGAAAAGTTGCCATACAAGGTCCAGGTGGACTTGGAAAACCCTACATACTATAGTAAATCAAAAAAATAAATCTTGTTCCCGTTGTATCTGTAAAGGAACATCACGTTGCTTCCTTCAAATAACATGGGTGCAATGTTTTTCACAGCTGTCAGAAACACTTTTAGCTTAATCACGGTTGTTCAAAGTAGCAGACCCGTACAGAGGAATCAATACTTGTTGAAGCTGTTGTCACGTGCAGCAAGCGGTCATTCAGGCGATTTTCACATGCTATGGATGAATGTGCTTGGTGGGCTACATGTGTCGGTGATTCGCAAAGCTCACGTGTCCCACCCACACAGCTGGTAAAATCCCCTCAGTGACTAATGGAGGGACCAGTGGGGCTTGTCACAAGCTCAGCATGAACTTGAAAACAAGAGGAGGATGCATGTTGTTCCATACCTGTATGCTGCTGTTTTTAGCCATGGAACTCTAAACGAGACATTTTGATGAATATTTACACAGTTCTGAAAGGTCAAGCTCCAAAAAAGCACCATGAAAGTATCATGAAAGTGCGCTCTTCTGAAGCAAAACTGTAGCTTTCTGTCAAACTGAAATTACAAATGTAGGTTGCTATTCACTGAAAGTCCACCAAGAATTACAAATACTAGAGCTGTCGAGTTAGTACAGTATAGAATTAATTGTGCTTCCTCTTTTTTCTCTCCCATACCTCTCTCCTCTCAGACTCTGAGCTGGCCCTCATGTATAATGATTCGTCTGTGTTGGAGAATCATCATCTGGCTGTAGGTTTTAAACTGCTGCAGGAAGAGAACTGTGACATCTTCCAGAACCTGACCAAGAAACAGAGACAGTCACTTCGCAAGATGGTCATTGACATTGTGAGTCACAATGTTATATGTGTCATTGGTCTCTAAGTTATTATTAGAGACCTAAGCTATCTAAGCTATTATTACACTGGACTGTTTTTAATTGCACTGATTTTTGTATTATGGAACTAAACTTTAATTTTACAGATGTGAAAAGAGGTGTAAAGGGCCAGTAAATTTCCCTCTTTCTCTCCAGCTGAAACTGATGATCATTCATCTTTTTTTGCAGGTTCTGGCCACTGACATGTCTAAGCACATGAATTTGTTGGCAGATCTGAAAACCATGGTGGAGACCAAAAAGGTGACCAGTTCTGGGGTATTACTGCTAGACAACTACTCTGACAGGATACAGGTTGGTCCTTATATTTATACTTGCATTGCATTCTAGATATTGTAAATTTATTATTAACTTAGAAAATTAATTTAGGAAATTTGTTATTTGCCATAATTAATATTTTTTATTTATAAAATATTTTTAGTTACATAAAATATATGCATACAATTATTTTATTTAAAATATCATTATACTATATATATATTTATATATATATATATATATATATATATATATATAGT